ATCATTCTTTTTCTATTTATTTAATATAAATAATTAAAATAAATGTATCAATGTTTTTAAATGTATTCATACAATATAAAAAGTTTAGGTTTTATTCAACTATAACTGAGCCTTGCAGACTAAAAACATCCAAAAACTTCAGAAATAAATCAGAATTAACATCATAGAGTAGTTAAATATTAAATCTGGTTTGACTCAACTTAGTTTAGTTGGATGATATATAATGGAGCCTAGGCGGAAGTTCATTTGAAGAAACTCATTGCTCTCCTACATCCACCTGGGACACAGCCAATCAGCTTTGAAACACACCTCCACGAAAGCCAGTTGGCATCCAAAGTTCATCTTAAAAGGCTGATCCGCACTGGTCTGCTCCTGTGTGCAGGCTGTGGATGCGCTTCAGACACTGTTTCAATCCACCTCCAGCTCCTCCTCCAACATCGTATCTAAAGCTTCATAAGAGAGTCATTCCTCCCGGACTCTTACTGTGTTCCCTGTCTCATCTCAATCAGTCTGGCAGAAGACCGCCATGTTGAGCCTGGTTCTGCAAGAGGTTTCTTCCCAACGGGGAGTTTTTCCTCTCCACTGTCGCTCCATGCTTGCTTATCATGGACAGGTTGTCTCAACCTGTGTTATCCAACTGGACTTCCATCTTCCAGGTCCATGAGTAAAGCTCTAGTATCAGCTAACACAATCCACTGCATCTCACCAAACAGCTCAGCAGACCGTCTCGCTAACCAGCAGTCTACAGACTGACCAACTTCATCTATCTCCACTCCACCACCAGTTTCAGGCCTGGGGGGGAAACAGCCCTATTCTTTGCTCCTGTTCATGCATATCTATCAGAATTAAGTGCTATGTTTCCTGCCGAGGTCTGAGCGCCAAAGACAAAGTAATTGTATCAATAAATTTCTCCTAATTGTCTTTTTTTTTTCTGTGAGTTTTTCATATTTAAATGTTTTGAAACCGAAATTCCTGAACATCACAGAGCTGAATAAGTCGATCAAGGACAATACCTTTCTATTCTATTCTATTCTATTCTATTCTATTCTATTCTATTCTATTCTATTCTATTCTATTCTATTCTATTCTATTCTATTCTAATACAATATCCAGTTAAGAAACATTCATTTCTGACGCTTACACATTTTAAAATAAGACAGCTCCAATATTTTGTGCAAAGCGAGACACCATTTTACTTTTGAAAGATATATATTGTAACGTAGTCTACCTTAGTAACGTAGTCTACCTCTTCTACTATATAGCTGAATGGAGGTTGGTTCAGGGTTTAATGCATTCAGTCTTTACCATCTTGTTTCCTCTTATATCCAACACTCTTCTGTTCTTTTTTGTCTTTTGGTATTTTTCTACTATTACTCCTTCTTGGTTTGTTCATTGGTTTGTTCTCTTCCTATTTTTGTATCTCTTTTCTTCCAATCTTCTGCCATTCAAAAAAAGAGGCCTAATAGAAAAAACATGACAGGCTTGGTCTAGATACTGTACTGTACTTTGCTACAGTTAAATAAAATATAGTTTTTGTTTCAGGTATCCTTTAGAACAAGCCTCTTCAATTCCGGCTCTCGAGTCCTGTTGTACTGCACATTTTAGATGTGTCTGCTTCCACACCTGAATCAAATTACCTCCCCAGCATGTAGTCAAGTTTTGCAGAGTTCTGGTAGTGACCTGATTCCTTTTACTCAGGTGAGTTGAAGCAGACACTAAAAGATGCTGGACACTGGTCCTTGAGGACCATAATTGAGGAAGCCTGCTTTGGAAGTTGGTTATTTTAAGATAAGCTAGGGTCATCCTAGTAAATTCTTAATATAGATAATCATTTTTTATTATTATTTAGCCTATTTCCTCTGCTGATCAATTGTCAAATATGTATAGTTCTTTGCCACTTATAAAAAAAAAGTTGTCTGTTCATGGCTTATTGGTTCTTTCTGTTTCTCTGTGACTGATGCCTTTATTTTCCTTATGTGCAACTTTAAGGTCCAACAGCCAATGCTGAAAGTTTTTGTTAGCAAATCATTAATAAATAGCATATGACCAGTACTTACTGTACTTCTCTCTTTCTCCCTCACACCTCTGTGCAGTTTATTAACGACAGCTCATTTATCATTTTGCACTTCGGTGCTCATCTTTAGTAAAAGCATCCTATACTTTTTTTTAACCTTAGCACAACACTGTTAATGTGTCCTAGTGTGAATCACATTTTTTTTTTTATTACTGCAAGGATCACTCCTGTGAAAACAGATGATCTATGTATTAATATCTAAGGCAGACTGAGACAGAAAACTGGCTCTGGCATCTTAGACCAGACCCACCCACCACATTGACTAAGCCCTATTTGGTCCGTTTCTTGTACATGTAAATCAACTTTAAATACACCTGAAGCTATTCAATGAATTTATGCTTTTCAATGCTAGTAGACATATTAAATTTCTAAAAAGTGTAATTTATTAATACTACAAAAATGTTCACCTCCTCCATCATACTAATAATTCTTTGAGCAGTTTTCATCATATTGCTTTTCTGTTTCAGGGAGGATGAATAGAAAGAATCTGAGAGAAAGAACAGAGATTAAAGTAATGCAATGGAGAGGATTTTTTTTCTTCAAATTATTACTCAGATTGTTTTCTATTGATCTTGCATATATGGAATGTGAGCTATTATTTTTATAGTTTAATCTAATACAGAAAAATCGTTATTTCTTTTACTACAAAGATTTTAAAGTAATTTTTCTACCTGATGATTTGAAAAAGGCTATCTGAAGCTTTATTTAAGTCTTTTTTTAAACCAAGAAGTGGCTTATTTTAAATATGCTAAAATTAACTTATTTCGTTCAGTCATCAGAGTATCATTGAAGTGACTGGTCCAAGCTCCTATTCTTTTCCAAATCAAAATATGTTCATCCTAATTTACAACAGGCTACAAAATAACTTGACCACATAAAATCGACTATAAGACTCTTACTGATGTTTTATTAGATTTATCAAGAAGTCATCAGTATAAGTTTATTCTGCCACCTTATGGCTGAAATGTTTTACAAAGCAGGCCGGCTTACTGCAGGTACCTATCTCCTCTGTGCCTCCTTTGCACATCCTCCCCTCACCACCACCAACCCCCACACTTATCCATCACAGCTGATCTAGGCTCTGTAATTTTTCCACCTCTAGCTGTGTTTGAATGATGAGTGTTTTATTTTTATTTTGCCACATAAATTCTATGTGACTACTTGCAGCTTTTTCTCCATTTGGAATCATACAATTGGGCTGATCATAGGTGTTACACTATATTCTGTGACCCTGGCCAAAGCGAGGATGTATTCTATAATACTATATGATTGGGAAAGCCTTTTGTCAGCAAAGAAGAAAACCAATGGGCTGCAGATTAGCATATATCAAGTACTGGGATCACAGATTTTGGTGTAACATTGGTATCCATCTCTGATCCATATGCACCATAATATCATAAAACAGGTGGTGACAATCTAAGGCGTTGTTGTTTTATCTATTTTTTGTTAAAGACAGCATGATCAGTTCTTCTAAAAAGTAACACTTTTAACCTCATTTATCAGATGCTAAAATCAGGGATATTTTAGGGAACAGGTTTTCCTAAATGGACACTGTCCCCAGAAAACAGATCTAGCAAACCAAAATCTGTTTGTCATAATCCACCATTTCATCTTTGAAAGAGGAGCATTAAGAGCTTTAAATGCATGAGTTGTTGTGGTCTCTCATGGCATCTGTGGAAGTTTAAATTTGTTAATATGATTGGCTGAAACTAAACTTTGGTAGGCAGATACTTGGTGTCACTTTCTCCAGTCAGCTTGGACAGTTTTGCTGAATGTCCCACTTTTCCCTGTGCAGATATAGATAGGGCTGTACAAAAATTGATAATGTATAGAACAAAATCTGAGTGCTACATCATGATTAATCTGGCTGCATTGATTATTTACTACTTCAAAACTCAATAAAATGTTGAAGTTTTTATATTTTAACGTGACTAAATTTTGTGACCTTGTAGTTTGTTTCAGAATTGATGAAGTAATGTACTAAAAATGCAGCAGATGGTCTGGTGCTCTCAACCTGGCATTAATCTCGTCATACGAGTTAAAAAAGTGAATGACTAAATTTCCTGCATATCTTCTTTACTGACAGGTTTAGTATGCCTCTTTTAAACCAACCAGATCCAATGATATTCAGCTAAAATGCTCATATTTGTCAGAGAGTATAATCAGAACAGATGTTTGCAGGACGAGCTTTGATGTGTTTTCAAGGGAGGATGCTTAATGCTTTTCTTTGAGTGTTTGCACAGCAAAAGTGCCAAGAAAAGAAAAATCTAGCCTTGCTAACCATTCATCTGAGCTGTCAGGGTGAGTGTAAGCACAGCAGAGGCTCACCAGAAGAAAACAAATCTCAATTGTGTTTTTTATTTTGTGTGTTTTCTTCTGTTGGTGCGATTATTTAAACAAAAACTAAACCATTTTCTTTTCTCCTCCAAGTGGTCAACATGGTAATTTCTTTTAAACATTTTATCTGGGATATTTAAAGCACATCAAGAAAAAAATTCCTATTGTTGTCATTGCTTCAAGTGGGCCAGTATGCAATGATACACAGCACCATCACTTTTAAGTTTTACCCCTCAGCAACTTTTTAATTGCTTATACCTGCTTATACGTTTCACAGATTTTTTTTCAAAATATATTGATGATATTTCGAGCTACTATAATTAAAATAAAAATATTTGTTATTCTTAATTTTCATAATATTAAATTATTGATAAATAGATCTGTGTATATATTAACCATGTTTCTGCTGCATATTGAACATTAAGGAAATTAGTGGCATTTATTTATTTTTCAAAATAAAGTGCTGGTCGTGTTCCAGTGGATATGCAGGAATTATTTTCTTTTCTGTTCGAAGTACACTACTTTTACGCTTTATTTTTTATTTTTGCTTCAACTCAAAGCTTTCATACTTCTTTGTTTATCTTACCAGGGATTTTCAGGTGACCTGATGGTGAGGAACATCCAGCTAAGGCACTCTGGAAAGTATGTATGTATGGTGCACACTGAGATCGACACCGTTTCAGCAGCAGCAGAACTAACTGTAAGAGGTATGTCTTCTCTTTTGTGACACCGTTTGACATTAAAAAACATTCTCTGTGGAGGTTTTTCTTCCACATGAAATCAGTGTTAGCATGTGTGTGGGAGGGCCTATGTGTGTCCTTTACACTTAGGACAGAGGTCTAAAAGGCACTTATTTCTAGGTGCCAGATTACATTTTTCATGTTTTTTTTGTTGTTGACGATCATGGGCTTTTTGTGAAAAATCTAATCAAATTGTGAGGAGTGAAACCTTTTAGTTTAGGATTACCACTACCTGTTTTCCAGTTTAAAAGTTAAAGGTGTGCCATTTTCCATCATGCCATTCTTGCAAGATGTATGAGAAACCAGAGACAGGGTTTTCTTCTGATTGTTTTTTAAGCAGTGGGGATTGGCACTTCTTTCCCACCCACCCTTTTGAAGTAGGCTGTCATTTAGCTGTAAATATCAGCAAAAGTGGGAATTCCCCAGAGCTTATGTCATTTTTTTAAATGAAATTAAATCAAATGCAGCTTTATTGTCAGTGTGTTATGCACACAACCACAATGCAGCAAAATGAGTGTTTCTCCAGGTTCAGCACAAGAATTTCAAAAATTCTTTTGAAATTTTAACATGTTTTCAAAAGATTAAAAAATTGTTATTTCTAAATTTAAAAATCTTAAATATAGAAATCTTGTTAAGTAAATTATCTTGCTCCATGGAGAGATAATTTCACTAGGTTTGAGTTGCTTTAACCTGGGATTTTGTGGGGGGTTTTCTTTTGATTTTAGACACCCCTTTTTTGCAATGAATATAGAAAAAAAAGGCAGCCATAGTACTGTACCTCTTCTTCAATAGTTTTGCACTCTGGGTTGCAGAAACTTTACAATTTAATGTCATAGGGAAGTGGCTGTTCCAACGGTTGCAGTTCCAAATTCTCCTGAGTGGTGCCGGACTTTACATGACTAAATAAAGTGAATGTGATTAGTCGATTATCAAGGTGGTGGGATTGTTGTGGCGGAAGGTTCGCAAGCCCATTTGGTTGTGGCCGGTGTCCCGGAAGCATCTTGCTAACCAGTTAGAACCATAATGCTAGTAGGTTCCCAATGGGAAATTAAATTGGGACCAAGTAGCTTTAAATTGGTGACTTAGAAACAAACACTGTCAAGGAACGCGATGGACAGCGGAAACATGCAAGAGGAGGAGAGTTTTGTTCGGAGGTCATGGATGAGTCTCCTCTGTCATACATTTTTATTAAGTGTAAAAGGCTTACAGCCGTACATGTTTGAGCCCTTGCCTCGCAATGCTGCCAATTCTGTTAGCTCTACGCCTGCCGAAGACACAGACTACTACTTTTTTTCTCTATTAATCATATAAAACTGTGTGTATTAGGGATTGCCTCATAGACCAACAATCTTTCTGTGTTCTTGCTGTTTTCTATACATCTTGGTGAAGTTTTACATTGACATGAAATGGTTCCACTTTAGCTCATGCAGTGAGGTCATGTTACTACATAGGTTTTACACTGTCAGCTTTGTTCTTCGCTCCTCATGTTTCTGCCCTTCATAGAATGACTGTGGTTACATTGACTATGGTTAGCTGATATATACACCTATCGGTTAATCGTATGGAGCCAAATTTGGGCTAAAAAGTGTGTTTAAAAAAATGATCAAACCTTTTGAACCTTTTTGGGGTAATTTTTTTTTACAAACTTATGGACTCAATTTGGCTCCATTTATTTAAATTAGAAGAGGATTAGAGTGGTCTTCCCCCTGGGGTCCTGACACTGATGGTGGAGTAAGCCAAAGAATGAGTTGGTCTTAAAATAGAGTGAGGGAGGAGATGGGGCATAGGTGGGTGAAAGTTCGGCTGATGCGCTGAAGCTGTGCCTATGTTTTAATGAAGAGCCTCTTGAATGATGATTGGCTTTGGAGAGGGTGTGGTTCATTGTTGATTGGCTGAAGCTTGAGAGAGGCACGTCAGCAATTGGTCCCGGTGAAGCTGATAAAAAGTCTTCCAGATAAAATTTTCGCTTAAGCTTCCTTAGTGCATTATGAGCTAATCATGTTTTCCATTCTACTTTTCAATAGTGCTCTACATTCCTTGGTGTAATTCATAAATAAGATATTGAAAATGAAAAAAACAAAGCCTTGTGGGGTGTACGGATTTTGGCACAATGCTGCATTCTGTTGAATTGGTGCAGCTGAGGATATGAAGGTTCTGTACTACCATTCAGTTTACAAATTAAAGCCATTACTCTGTTGATTTGTACCTCTAAATGGAAAACTACATCTGAGGGCTACCAGCAAATCCCAATATGTTTGATCTCATATCATGGATCATTTCAAGTCATTGTAAATGAAACTAACAATTTATTCTAAATTGTCTACTATAATATGTTCTACGGTAATTATCCTCTTCTTCACAAGTCTACAATTGGTAATTGGGGATTCATAAGCCACACAGTTTTGATTTTCTTTTTTTTTCTGTGAGGTTAGATATCAAATATTTTCAAACAACAGACTTATATTGCTGTTTAATGTTTGCTGTTTAACAAACTTTAATGATAATCATAAAACAAGGAGATAAAAACACACAGATACATTTGGAGAACATAATGCAATAGAAAATACTAGTTAACTAAAACATGAGTGTCAAATTAACTGTCAAATCAACTGTAAACAATGAAAATATATTAAGATGCTTACGCAGTGTATTAAGGAGAGGATGAGTGGGGTCATGTATTGTGAGATTTTGGGGAACAACCTCCTTCCCTCAGTTAGAGCATTGAAGATTCTTGATGCTGGGTCTTCCAACATGATGATGACCCAAAGCAAACAGCCAGAATAACTAAGGAGTGGCTCTGGATGAAGCTTATCAAGTTTCGGGCATGGCCTAGCCGGTCTCAAGACCGAAACCTAATAGAGAATCATTGGAGGGACCTAAAACTCTGAATTTCTCAGCAACAGCCCAGAAACCTGACTGATCAGGAGAAGATCTGTGTGGAGAAGTGGGCCAAAATCCCTCCTGTAGTGTGTGCAAACCTGGTAAAAAATTACAGGAAACATTTGACCTCTGTAATCGCAAACAAAGGCTACTGTACCAAATATTAGCATTGATTTTCTCAAGTGTTCAAATGCTTATGTGCAGCTGCATCATACAAATACATAGTTTAAAAAAAATCATGCATTGTGTTTTCTGGATGTCTCTCTGTTATAACTGCGGAAGTTAGGAGAGAGAAGGACTCTGGAAAAAATATAACCACTGCCGTATATTGTCTTCCATCCCATGCATGAAGCTGTTGCAAAGCTCTTTCAGTGAGGCTGCTGTGTCCTGGATGAAAGGAGCATTATTGCAGATTGTTCCTCCCAGTAGCTGGTGTGAAAAAAAACATGTACTCAATTTTAATTAATTTAATTTACATTTTTGTTGTTTATTACAGCATTTTTTCTTATACTTGTAAATGACATGCTGCCTTTTGTTTTGCACAGTTATAACAGAACAGTGTTGTGCAATTTTCAATTCATAATTCTTAGGACAATATTTAATTTGATCTAAGTAAGTAAACAGTTTTCTGTTTTCTTGCCTCTGAAAGTAAACCCACTGTCGCATGGTAAAGTTTAATTCTGTTCTACATCTTCCTTTGTTGGTAAAATCAAGCACAAACATCCAGCAGTGACTGATGTTGAAGGTATCTACTGGGCTGGTCAATGCCGCTACTGGTGACCCTGTAGCTGATAAGCAATAACTTCCTAAATTTGTTTGGAACCAGAATATGATTAGCCATAGTTCAGGCAGTAATTAGGGGTTAGATAATTTTAAACCTTTTGTCCAAATGTATCTTAAAGGGGGAAGAGAGTACACTTGGAAATCTAACTCTTTTAACACCTACCCCTGCTCCTTCTCTCCTCCAAAGGTACTGATCGTTACACCTCCTATACACATGTGCAAACAGACATTGTTGCTTGCATGAAAGAAAAAAAGTCTAAGCAGTAGTTTGATATAAAGCAAAGCTAAGTCTTATACGAATCACCTTGCCTAAATAACATTGTTAGAAGGTTCCGCTTTTACCCCCCTATTTACCTCCACACTTCACCGTTTCTATTAGAGGTGATTTTTAATCAATACGATACTACATAAGTAAAATCAAGGTCAGTATCCGCGATGTTGATACGATACAGATACTTTTTAACATTTAAGCTTGATGTATCATAGAACTGTTGACCATTCAGTCATTCTGAGATTTTTATTTGATTATTACAATTGAATAATGATAATAGTATTTAATAATAATAGTATGTTCTGTTCATAGTGTTTTTTCCCTAATCTACCTCTTATATCTTTCAATCGTTATGTAATTTTGTTTCTATTGTGTATCCTTGCCTGTTGCTTTAATTCTATGAATTCACACATTGTGGGATAAATAAAGGATTAGCTAACGTGAGCCCACTTTGATGATACATTTTAATGGAATAAATGTCCTGGGTTCTTTCAAGGTATTTATTACATTTTCTGAGTGGGTTCCAGCAACATATGACATATAATATCTTCTATGAAAGTTAATATGAAGGTGATCACACTTATCTACCTGTCAGCAGTGGGTGGTGAGGTTGCTTGAAGAGACGAGTGAAGCTGAGATGAGTTTTGACAGATTTAATTGAAGAACACAGGAAACAGAGGTAGCAATCCAGAAATCCAACTAAGATGTTAAACAAACCAAAAACCATGGAGACATTAGGGGGAAACAAGCCTGAGGAGCCAGGGAGAGACGAGCTGAGAAGACAAGTACAGCAATGACAAGGAACCAGCACTGAGTGACTGCAGAAGTGGAGTATTTAAAGATAACAGAACAAAGGATGGACTAATGAGCTGAATAAGGAGCAGGTGTGGGTGGAACTGGCAAGAAGGAAACCAAGGGGAAAGAAAACAAGCACAAGGGGGCAACAGAGAGTAACTAAAGAATGCTTGAATATGAGGGAAAATAAATCAAAGAAAAAAACAGAACAACTGATAACAGAAAATTGAAAACTCAGAGTCACAACAAATGGGACGAACCATAACACTACCTGGATATTCTCTGGAGGTCTTAAACACCTCTGTCCTTGAGGGCCAAAGGTCTGTTGGAGCGATGTGATGTTATGTGCGAAGTTTAGTCTCCTCTTTCCTAAGAAGTTAAAAATCCTTTGGACTTAATTTCCAAATTTAAAGACATTCACTTCCCATCCAGGAAGCTTACTCATTCAAAAAGCTTCCTGATTGACAACTGCCTCTAGACAAATTTTCCAATCTATTTTTCTCATACATGTCTTGCTAAAGAGAACCCAGAAGGTGCTCTAATTAAATAAGAATTATTGTAGATTACCTACATCTCATCATTTAATGGGTTCAGATATTTATTTCAATATTTTTTAAGTTATTTTAAGTTTAAAAATAAACACTTTACAATTTTATGTCTTTTGCAGCTTGGTATGTTTTCTTAATGCACAAGCTTGCCTTGTGATTTTGGCTTTTCTTTTTGCTAGGTGCTCATCTACATTTGACCTTTTTATTTTTTTTTTCCTTGTTTGAACTACACATTTTTCCATTTTCTGTTAGTATTACAGAAATTCAACAATTAAAAGTGAGAAACTACAGCTTTGACCTAGTTTCAATAATGTCAGCATAAAATACTGTACAGATTTTAGTTTTTTTTTTTATATAGTTTTTTAGTTTTGAATTAATTTTGCATGCAACTTGTCTGTAAAAAAAAAAAAACATAACTAAGAGGGCATGAGTTAAGCAGAAATTGTGAAAAAGACTGCAATCACATCTCTGAGTAGGGTTAAGAAAATTAGTAGACGAGTAAGCTTTTAGGAGCTGACTTTCCCTGCTCACTCTTTATATTGATCATATGAAAATGCCGTGATTCGGAAACAAAGCATGTACTTAGGATAATTGAGACTTGAAGGATTTTTCTTGCAAACACAATTATAATAACTATGAAGTTAGAAGTAGAGAATATAAAGCTTAGGAGAAACTTTTTGAATCTTTTTATATTTTAAAAGCTAGGAGGATTTCCTTGTAAACAACCTGTCCCTGACAGAAACTTTGGATTAATTGGAAAAAAAAAAAAAAAAGGTATGGTAAAGCAATACAAAATAAATTAAGATAAAATATTCCAACCATATCATGTTATTTAATGTTTACCCCATGCCTCCAGTTTATTCCTTAAGCCTCTGATATTCTCTTCCCCTCTGTGCCTCCTGTATTGCCCAGTCTATCTCATTCTGTCTATTTTGTGAGTGTGTTTGTGTCCATGTCATGGGTGTGGCACGTCTCTAACTCTCCTCACTCTCTGGTTGCTCATCAGCCTGCACACCAGCAATCCATCCACCTCTCAGCCTTGCAGTATATCAAGCCCAGTTCTTCAACCTTTCATTGCCAGCCCATTTTTTCAGCCAGTGTGGATCATTGCATGCCGCAAGCTCTCATGCTCATCTCCACACCTGCCAGTCACTCATTCAGCCACGCACACAGCCTGCTCTGCTCTGTTTCACAACCCACCCACACACACACACACACACACACACACACACACACACCTCCACTGAAAAACAATAATGGCTGTTATTCTTTCTAACCATGTTGTTTGTGTCACAATCTGTTGAACTTTAATATATACAACAGTACTGGTGAGCTTGGTACTCTCAATTCAAATCAGTTTATTTCTATGGCGCCAATACACAACACATGTCAGCTCAAGGCACTTTACAGTTCACCAGATCATACAGTCAAATTGATTCAAAGTTTTTTTTATCTAAGGAAAACCAGTTGATTGCATTGACTCATTAGCTCAAAGGCAATCCCTCACACTAAGCATGCTTGTAGCGAAAGTGGAAAGAAAAAACTCCCTTTTAACAGGAAGAAACCCATAGCAGAACTAGACTCAGTGTGAGTGGCCATCTGCCGAGGCCGACTGGGGTTCAACAAGACAGAAGCAGAGATACAAAAGGCAACTGTAATAGGTGGCCCCTTCCAGGAAACACACAGCCAGGCAGACAAGCTCCGAGCCAGCTCCCATGGATGAAGAGAGAGCACATCTTGCCAGTAACAGTCAGAGAAACAGGATTAGACTGGAAAACAGGCAGATCTCGAACATCTATAATCAAAGTAGTTGATGGCAGCATCACAGCTGATATTTCTTTCCAGGATGGTGTCACAGCCAAACAGGAACAGACAAGGCAAAGCTACTATGAGAAAGAGCAGAGAGAAAACTAACAGATTCGGCAGAGTGGGAGAATCGAGATAGAATGAAGCAGGATGATGAAAAAGGAATCCCTATGTCATCCAGAAGTCTAAACCTATAGCAACATAACTATAGAGATAGCCCAGGATAACCTAAGTCCCTCTAACTATAAGCTTTATCAAAAGGTTTTAAGGCTACCCTTAAAAATAGACATGGTGTCTGCTTCACAAACAAACCCGGTAGTTGGTTCCACAGGAGAGGAGCCAAATAACTAAAAGATCTGCCTCCCATTCTGCTTTTAGAAATTCTAGGAAACACTAGTGAACCTGCAGATTGAGAGCAAAGTGCTCTGTTAGGGACACAATGAACAATCATATCTCTGACATAAGATGGAGCTTGGCCATTTAAGGCTTTATATGTGAGAAGGAGGATTTTAAATACTATTCTGAATTTAACAGGAAGCCAATGAAGAGA